GGACTGGAAGAGGAGCAGCCGGGACCAGAACTGGTGCCCACATGGGATGCTGGTGCCGCAGGCAGAGGATTTTCCACGGCGTCTGCTCCAGTGGTTCACTCTTAAAATGCCCACAACAGCCCCTTCTGGTCCTAAGGTGGAAGCCAACAATGTAATCCAGGTCTTGCATGTGGATAACAGAAACCTAATTACTTGAGTCATCACTGCTGCCTCCCAGGGTCTGCATGCAATAAGCTGAGTCAGGAGCTGGAGCTGGGAATTAAGCCCAGGTACTGCACTGTGGGATGTGGCTATCTTAACTATTAGGCTAAATGCCCACTATCTCTGTAGTGTCTTGTGGAAATGCATGTTAGTAGTTTAAAGGCTAAGGCTACATTTACTGGAAGAATTTTCCTGAATCTTAAGAATTAAGTCATGCTTATACTGCCCCCTGCAGTTTCTGTAACTTTATATAATTCCTTAAAACAGGGTCGGATTCTAACTGCAAAGCTCAGTTGAAGAGGTAATAGTTTGGGTGATGGAAAGAGATAACGTTGGATTCTAATATATTCTGTATGTATAAAAATATAAGTAACCCTATTGTGTGCTTTCAGTTTACTGAAAAGTACTGAGAAAAATCCAAGGAGCCTGATTTATACTGTGTTATGTTGCTTCTCTTTATAGATTAGGTCAGTATATTCAGTGGAGCTAAGTTTTGTCCTAATTATTGAATAGATATGGACATTATCATACCTTTCGTTTTTGACTTTGGGATATATATTTTTTAATTAAAGAAACTGTACTTTTTAAACTTGCCTGTTACATATTATTACTTAGGCAGATACTAAAATGGATGTGAACTCCCTGAACACTCTACTCATTGTGGACTGAAAGGACTGAAATGGTTTAATGATCCTTTCTGGCTGGAAATAGTATTTGACCTTATATTTAAAAATGTATGATGAAGGCCGGCGCCGCGGCTCACTAGGCTAATCCTCCGCCTAGCGGTGCCGGCACACCGGGTTCTAGTCCCGGTCGGGGCGCCGGATTCTGTCCCGGTTGCCCCTCTTCCAGGCCAGCTCTCTGCTGTGGCCAGGGAGTGCAGTGGAGGATGGCCCAGGTGCTTGGGCCCTGCACCCCATGGGAGACCAGGAAAAGCACCTGGCTCCTGGCTCCTGCCATCGGATCAGCGCGGTGCGCCAGCCGTAGCGCGCTGGCCGCGGCGGCCATTGGATGGTGAACCAACGGCAAAGGAAGACCTTTCTCTCTGTCTCTCTCTCTCACTGTCCACTCTGCCTGTCAAAAAAAAAAAAAAAAAAGTATGATGATTTGTACATTCCCAGTTAGTAAAAAATAGACTGATTTCAACCTGATGCCTTAGAAAAGGAAGAGACAAGGTGAAGGAAAAGGAACTCTGTATGTCTGTGTGTGAGTGTGTTTGTATGTATATAGTCACACACTAAAGGAACTTATGTGGGCCACCTAGACACATCATTTTGGAACTTTTCTTGGAAACGGATATCTTCTATGGTGTGCCTTTTTTTGTCCACCACACAGATAAGTGGTGTCATCCTAAGACTTAACACTTCTGGACTTTAAGAGGGGGTTTTCCTTCTTTGAAATAAAGAAGTGATGGTGTAAAAGTCCTTACCTATTAAACTGAACAGCTTCTCCCTTGAGAGTTCAGGAGGGAAGGTGGCTGCTCCTGTGTAAGAGTTGTCGTGCAGTGTGGAAATGAAAATGATGTGACTCCAAAATTCAATTTATTTTTTTAAAAAATATTTATTATTTGGAAAGCAGGGTTACAGAGAGGCAGAGAGAGAGAGAGAGAGAGAGAGAGAGAGAGAGGTTTTCCATCCGCTGTTTCATTCCCCAAATGGCTGCAATAGCCAGAACTGGGCCAATCTGAAGCCAGGATCAGGAGCTTCTTCTGGGTCTCCCATGTGGGTGTAGGGGTCCAAACTCTTGGGCCATCTTCTACTGCTTTCCCAGGCCATAGTGGAGAGCTGGATCAGAAGTGGAGCAGCCAAGACTCGAACCATTACTCATATGGG